CTTTTTGACTTGCCTTTCTTTTAACAAAATGAAAACGCCCTATTGACAAAGTTACAAAAAGATATATTTGCCTGTCATCATTTAAAAGAATCCTTTTGTTTACTATGAAATGAATTTTATTTCGTTGCACACTTCTTACTGGCCGAAAAATTATTTTTCGGTTTCAACCTGAGAACCGAGAAGCGCGGTTCGTTCCATATGAGGAACAGGAACCGCGGTTTCTTTCGTTTTGGTTCTAACGCGAGAACCAGAATCGCGGTTCTCGGTTCTGGAATCGAGAAACGAACATCCCTACCTACAAGTCATGTACTCCAGACGCCTTCGACTGAAAAAAGCTCTGTTTTGAAAAAGTTTAAAATTGCGTCGATTATTTTTACGCATCTATACGCTTTAGATGATGGGCATCGCAGAATATTCTTTTTTTACTATAATCCGGTCTGGGGTCACAGTTAAGCACTTATCTTTTGATTCCGAAAGTTATATATATTAGCTCCACTCGTCACCGATCTGTAATCTCATATGGGATCCGCATTTGTTTTAGATTATTTTATTCCGGTAGGAAAAGAACTTAAAGTAAAGTAGATTGATAAATCTCACAAATGAGTTTTTCCGTCGAACGCATGCCGACACCTTCCATTAAGAGTTTGTTAACACAGTCTGACACCGAGAATCTAGAGAGATACAACTAGCTCTTAGTTAGATAACATCATAGATTGCTTGCATTAATTAAAACAACCATTTTATTACTGATTTACTGATACGTTCCTTCATTATCAACTGTTTGCTTTTACAGAAAAATTTCAAACTGTTTTGTCCTGTATTAAGTGTAAAAGAACAGTCATTAAAATACCTTTCAAAAACTATCTCTACGCGCTTTAGGTAATCAGAGAATGTTGGCAATCTCTTCAGCCATATTATTTGCTGATATCCGACATCATCAAGCGCTCCTTTCTGTAATTCAGTATATACCAGAATGTACAATATTCGGAAAAGGAAATATGATCGGTGGTATTCAATTCACAAATGAAGGATGTCAGTATTTTGATATAAAGTAACATATTTTTTATACTAAAACTACGTTTTCTTTTTTTTCAGTTGTTGATGTATTGAAACAGCCTCAAGTTCATTCAAATCAAAAAAATATTCTTATTGAACATGTTGAAATAGATATTGAACCATCTATAGATGGTTTCGAAGATGAACTATGTTTATTATTAAATAAAGATCGAATTTCTAGACAAATGCCATCGTCACAGGAAACTCGAAAAGTTTCCATAGTTGAACGTCGCCTAAGAGTAAGTCATGTTTTTTTCCGTTCACAAAATCATGTTGATCACCTTTAATGTTACTTTTTTTTAACCAGTTTTTCAATAAGTAAACTAGATTGACTGTTTACAATTTTTAATCATTAAGCGTCGTTGTGTACGACTTTTTGAACGTTCTTGTTTTTGCTGCTGTATAGGTTGGTATTCATAATGGAAAATGTTACGTTCATGAGCCATTAATATGTTATTTAACAACTGAACAAGAAGGCACAGGTTTGGGATTATCAAAAAAACTTAGTTTCAGACAATCACAACGACGTCGAACAGTGTCATCAGAAAGGCAAGCGTATAGTTATAGTGTGTGACACAAATCTATTTAAGTTTATTCTTTTTTTATTCTAGCCGAGGTCAAGATACATTTCGAAAACTTTATTTGAGAAATCCGATTCGACTTGATGATGTTCCACTTGATTCACAAAATGCAATTGTTTTTGTACTAGAATATATGGTATCAATTCCATTGGATATTCACAAAGTAAAAGAGGTGAGTAGAAATTATTGCTGTTTCTGCTAAAATTGTAATTGTGAAAAATGATTGAACATTATTTAGAATGAACCAAATGAGAATACTAAAACATCATTTGTTGTTCGTTGGACGGTATGGTTTCCGGGTAAAGATAAACAAGTGGCATTAAATTTGTATGGTGGACAAGTTCTGTTGACCGATGAAGTATTTGTTTATAAACCATCAAAAACTGTATTAAATTCATCAGAAGTTTTACGCGAAACATTGAAATTTGATTATCGTTTTGATGACGAGGTAATTTTCGTGAAAATAGCAACAACTTAGAGATATTATTTCTTTTTTTTTCATCGTTGTAGCAGCCAATCAGACATTCGATCGTAACGCCAAAACCAGAGTTGATTTCAGCCGTTCCTAGAAGGTATACTTGTTCGGTGATATTAATCATTAATAGCTAGTCTTTCTATGTAGACCGACCATACCACTGGAAGATGAAAAATCGTCACGGTTTGAACAGCATGGTAAATAACATTTATCTTTACAACTATATTTAAAAGTGATTTTTCTATTTTTTCTAGTTGTACCATCTAGAGCAATTCCATCTGCACTGCAACCACCCGTTTACCATCTGAATGTAAGTTGCATTATATAATGATGATCATAAATCATCTTTCTCAATGTTTCAGAATCTCACACCGTGGAGTGTTGGTAGTTCTTATCCATCATTTTCTCCCCTGATATCATTGGCAAATCAAATGAATTTGTACGAATCTAATCATTTACTTCTGCCTGATTAAGTGTATTTGAAATTTTTGTTTCATTTCATAGTGCACATTCACTATCAAGAGCAGCCTATGCAAAATTACAAGGAGAAGTACATATCTGAGGTTTTCATTCTAAAATATAATCATCATTCATTTTTTATAATTATTAGAATTTTCCGTTAATAACAAATGTCAATGGTAAACAGGCTGAAATGATTGACATACGTCAATCAAGATTAATGAATATTCAAACAGAAACAAATGATCCAATGAATTGTAATGAAATTCATTTGTATTTTCTCGCTTATCTGAGGTAGTATTTTCTCACTTTGTCTTCTTTTTGTTTTAAAACATTGTTTTCTGTATTAAAGAGCATCAACACAACAATCTAAACGAAGTTTTCCAAAAAATTTATTTTTTACGTTTAAATTTTATCGTTTTCCTGAAACAACAACAAGCAGGTAGTCGACTAATGTGAACTATATCATAACCTGTGTCGTGTCAATTTTTCTGATGATAGAATTGCACTTGAACGTATGCACGATAATATATCGAGTGATCCTAACTTTCAACCATATGTTTTGTGGAGGTTAAAACAAGATAATTCAAAAACAACCGAATTACCTGGACTTCCGGTAAATTAAATACTAATCTGGAAATAGTAATCATGAAATAAATATTTGAATAATAGGTCAAATTTCTAATCGATGGAGGTTTTCTTGGTTCGGTTGAAAATCGAAATTTTTTTGAATACATGGATAGTCACGTTTTGTATATTGATGTTTGGGATGGAGACGGAATATTTTGTATTGGCGTTTGTGCACTCGAATTGAAGGTTGGTCTACGATTCATGATGTGCAAAGAGGAAAGACTCGCATCTTGTTATTTTTTCTCCAGTATTTACTGCGTGATGGACGTGGAGCAATTCAAACGTTGGTCGAACTAGATATTTATTCGGCAATGCCAGTTGAAGCTACACAACATATTGAACAAGAATATTACCAACATGTAAGAAGATTAAGTTCTCTGGCGTTAAGTTTACTCAGCGACGCTTAATTTTTATATAAAATTATTGAGAAACACTGAAAAAGATTTTGAAAAAATTGAACTTATTTCAATTGTATGAGGTTAGGATGTTAGGTTGATTTCATATAGTTAAATGATCAAAAACGAGATTACAAAAATGCGTTGTTCTCCTTTTAGTCGACCGAAGACCAATTCTCTCTAATTGGTGAAAAACTACAGACGGTTGGAAAATTAATAATGAAAATTGGAAATGTTGGTCACGTATCTGATCAACCAACAATTGATTCTTTGAAAAGTATTTATTTTCTTTTATTTTCTCATTATTTATTTTCATTTCCAACTTTTTAATATTTACTTTTTTCTTCAAAAATAGCGTATGATACATTAAAATTACTTCCCACAAATCGTGTAGTATCATCAACACCCTCATTTGATATTATACAAAGACGATTAGGAGAAATATCATCATCAGGCATACCAGACCATCATTTAACCCGTGCTCATCGCCTTGTTGAAAGTCATCCGAATCTTAATACTGCATTACATACTCAGGTATTGATAAAAACACTCTCTTGTGAGAACATAAGCAACATGTGTTATGTGTGTTGAAATAGACTCAACAAACAACGGATACAGAACGTTTGAGAAAATTATCTCGCATGGAAGCTGTACGAAAAAAAGTTACAGAGGATAGTGAAATAATACCGATGCCATTAACAACAAATAGAGAATTACGTGAAGCAAGAGAAAATGATTTGAAGTAAGATTTGTCTTTGATGAGTGAATAAAACTAATTGATTTAATATTTTGAAGATCACTAGCATTTTATCGTGATCAATCAAAGCATGCCGATATCGCGCATCATTTATCAAATTTTATAACTAAAGAAATTCATATACGATTAATGCCAGGTTTTATCGAATTTTTCGAATTTGTTTTACAAAACCCATTTCCTGAACAACATTCGATTAGTATTACAAGTGATGACGATGAACTAAGGTAAACTACATATACATACGTAGAGAAAGTTGTACGTTCAATACTGAAAATATATCGGACATATATTTGAACATATGACTGCAATCGGAGAGCATCGCTCAGGATCGGAGTCAGCATCGCATAGCATCGGAAAGCATCCGATGCCAAGCATCTCAAGCTCCGGAAAGCATTTCATGGGCTCCGGAAAGCTCTCGGAGCCGCCTTTTCCCCCTAGCCGTTTTCACACCGTATTATTTGGAACGTTTTACAGAATTATCGGTGAGAAAATTACCAGTTCACAGGTATTTTACGAAACTTTTCTAATCTATCTATTGGCCGTTAATGCACTGTTTACTAGTCGTGTATTGAAAAGCATCTGTTTCTAACTGATAACCGCAAAAATATTGTTTTTTACCACTTTTGAATATTTTTTGTTTTCTTGGCTCTAATTCAGCTCTCTGGTTCCTGACCATCCTGAGCGCTATCTCGATAAGGAGACCCAAGAATAAATATCACTTCTTCCTATAAGTTTCGATGACTTGTGTATCGGATGAAGGGAATATCCAACTTTTGCTTAAAGAAATAGTATGATAAATGTAGTGATAGTAATGATAAAACAAAAAGAGTGAATAACGTGTTGACGAACGGCGACCGTTAGCCGACCATTGTTAGGTCGTTGACTGACGGTAAGAAAAGGATCAGTTAAAGGTACTGTTAACAAGCCGTTTCTTGGCTGTTTATATATCCTTAACGTACTGTTTTCTGATCGATTGTTGACAGGTCGCATAAATCACATGATATATATGTTCTAAAATGAGCTCTCATTCTTTTAACTTATAAGTCTTTCTCTTTAGTGTTGTGACTGATACTCGTGAATGGCAAAAGCTAAAATCAATGTTTGAAGTTTTCTCTGAAACCCAAGAGAGTATTTTCACTCAAATGGATCAAGGTGGGTTGAAACAAGTTCCACAAGTATTCATGCGATCAAAAGAAACTATTCACATACCATTTAAATTACAAACCTTTCAAAGCGGTATTAAATCGGATCAACATTCACAGGTAAATTATGTTACTTCATCACTAAATAATTGTCATCTTATTTTGGTTGTGTTTACAGAATCCATTTGCTCAGGAGCAAACATTTTCTGTTGTGGAAAAACGCTTTAACGAGAGATTAAAACCAAAACAAATTAAAGTTAGTCTTTTATCGTGTTCTAGTATTTAGAATGTATTTATCAATCTTTATTATCGTAGACTACATTTCAAATAGAAAATGGAACGCCGATAGCTATATTGTCTATTCATATTGATTATATATCACCACTTATTGATCAAACAATTCGTTGCGTTAATGGAGAAAATACTTTGATGAAAAGAGTTATTCGAATTCCAAATCCTAGACGAGCAATTATATCTGGTTTATATTATTTATTTACACTGAGAAATAATATTTAACTTCTTTTTTCATTTAGAATCGGTTGTTACCGGTCTAGAAGAACAAATATACCAAGTATTTGTGAGACCAAGTGATCCAAATGTGATATGCGATATTAAACCTGTTCCAATTAATGAACCATGCGATATGCTTGTGAAGGTAAAAATATACTTTCTTTTTCTTTTAGTCTGAAAATGAGTAACATATTCTAGGCTGGGAGTCAAAGTGCACCAACAATTAAAACATTTTATGTTTTTATCTATTCTGATTCATTTATGCATAAACCGGCATTTGTTTGGCAATTCTATATTCATGCTGTTAAACGAATCGATATGCAATGTATTCAAAGTCAAACAACAAGAACAACACTGCTACTAAGGTATTGATATTCGATATAATTTTCTCTTATATTTATCATTATAAATAAATATTTCTAGAGGAACACGTTCATCTCGACTTGTCCAATGTTTTGGTAATTCACCCGATGAACTCTTAATTTCTCCGAGTAACGCCTTTAGTTGTATGTCAAATAGTTTACACGAATTAAATTTACTTGTTCGTCCGTCAAAGCCCGGAATTCGTTCATATTGTGTGAATGCTGTTGATACTGAATTACATCAGATTATTGATACATGGTTAATTCGAGTCAATTCTCGTTTACCAAATATATCAAGGAGATTTGGTAAGAAACGCTAATTTAATATTAGAATATATAACTTTTTTTTTTTTTTATAACAGAACAAACACTCCAAATTGGTCAAAGTCAACCGATGAATAAACGTATAGCCTATACAAATCCATACTCGCTGAGTAAAACATTTTATTTCAGTACAAGTCATCCTGATTTGTTACAATTACAACATTCAAAATTAGATTTTCAAGCAAATGAAAAACGTTTTCTTAGTTTTACATTATTACCACTATTTCAAATCACGATCATAGATATTTTCATTTTGATTAATAGCGAAGATGACACAAATGAAGATGCCTACTGTGTTAGAGTTAATTATGTAGACAATCTATAACTTTTTTGATGTATGTGCAGATCGTTACTAAATAGATTTTTTTGTACAAATGTTTTGTTTTTATTAAAATAGAGATATTTTATATTGTAGAATGAAAGGGTTGTACTAATATATGATAAAGTTGAATCGAAAGTAACATGTATCAACTTAATAAAAACTTTTGTTTAATTTCTTCTAACACGGTTTATGTGATATCAGATAGTAATGTTGCATCAGACTATTATTTAAACGATGGAAAAATATCGCAGCCGTTGTCCTGCATTTGATCGATTTCTTTGAATATTTTACAAATAATTTACTCATGAATTCTTCAATGCAATTCAAAATAATATTGATCGTTCAGTTTCAAACTTGGAAAATATTACATGTTTAGGTCGAGAAGAAGCGCGTGTTTTTATAATTCAAATAATGAAATCTAAATACAAGATACCAGTTCATAAATATTTGTGTAATATTAGTTTTATCTCTGATCATTTTTTGTTAAGTTACAATTTTAATGAGCTGGAATAAAATCCTAGATTATTCATCGAATAATAAATTTATCTTATAATAATAATTTTTATTTTAGGTTGACGTATGGAACGAGTCGTTCTACTTACAATACAAACCTTGCATCGTCACAATAATCAACTTTATCAAGAACATATTTTTTATGTTGAAATATAACGAATCTTGTGTCAAATGATGTTTCAGATTTGTGTCACTTGTTTTATGGAATCATTTAAATAAACCGTATGAAAAAATTCGCATTCTAAAGACTCACATAGTGGAAGAAATGGCCCCTTATTCAGAAGAATAATGTTCGGTAACATTATTAATTACGTTTTACAGAGTATTCAATGTTTCTTATAGTAGAAATATCAAACATTCATTTCAATCGATTAAAAACAAGTACTGTGATGTGGGATGGTTGAGCTTTGAATATTTTGAAGGGCTCCCACTACCGGTTTCGACCTTGCTTAAGGGTCTCATTAGATGGCTTGTTCACAAGCACCTATTTGCTTCCGAAAATCAAACATGATACACTACACTACATTGTCGATAAGCGTTTAATATAAATAAACGATTATCTCCAAAACAGTCGTAGCTAAACTCACCACTATGGAAGTGAGCTACCTGTGTTTTGTAGGTAATCGACAAGTTTCCTACTGAATGGTTATTTACGTTTAAAGCAATGTAGTGTATCATTTTTGGATTTTCGTTATCAGCTGGATACTTGTGAACAATCCATCTTATGAGACCTGCAGCAGGGTCGAAACCGGTTATGGTAGCATAGCTCAAGATGGCAATGTATATTCGATTGTGTCTAGTGTTCGATTTCGTAATCATACAGATAACCAGAGATTCAAGCCATCTGGAGAAGCCTTTAGCGAGACAGAAACAGGTTTTCGCAGCTTTATCTGACCCACTATTTGTTCATCGTGTAACAACCTAGGATTATTTGGAGTGTTGAGGAAAAATTTGGATACTGTATTGAGCAGGGTCGATCGTGTCTCTCGGACAATGACTCATAAGTAGAAAATTGCATAAATATTTTATTGTATAATCTATTTCAATTTCACAAAAGTGAATCAACAATAGAAGAAACTAATCGAAAATATCTTTCACGATCACTCCTTGTATAAAGGTTGTCCGTTTTCGAAGTGTTTAGAAGAATTTCAGTTAACTGAAATTACTGAACCGTAGACACAGGTTTTCGACCACACCGAGTCTTATGGCACTGTTTATACTTCAACGTATACTTCATTTTGTCTGTTTAGATTTCAACAAAAGTTTTAAAAAACAATAGAAAGTACGCTTGTTTTCGAAAAGATTTTCTAGAAATCTCTGGAAGTAAAGGAATGCTTTTTTTTTGCCTAATCTAAATTACAAGACCAGGTTTAGCAGACAAAATGAAGGAGGAAGTGTCATGATATCCAGATTATTAAAATCCTTTTCTTAACTCATCCGAAAAGTATTCATCCAGAGTCTAAACTTTCGGGGTGAAATTGTGATTGATCAAATTTCAAAATAAATTTGGTGTTTACAGCTACTGAATGGACTAGTAACAGACAGTGCATCATTAATCTGATGTTGTTAGACACCAGTTTTAAAAATTGTTATCATATCTGTTTTAGTGTTATATTAGACGTTAATAATTTTATTATGATGTTAATAATATAATATTTATATGTTAGTGTAAAAAGGATCCATTGGGCTAACGACATATAATACACGTCTGTAATAGATTATGATAGGAGATGAATATGCTTTCCTCTTGAATGAAGAGCGTAAAAACTAATTATTAAACTTTTTCTAGTGTCTTATTCGGAAAGAGAATTTGTATGTCACCATGGAGTTCTGATTTTTTGCTTTTTATCTGTTTTTCAACAAAAAATAAATTTAAAAACTTTATTTCATATGAACAGAAAAAAAAGCTATTAATTAGAAGTTTCTCTCTCGCGCTACTATTCTTATTTAACTTCCTTCTATTTATACACGTTCTATGTTGTAGTCCAACAGTTCAATAGCAAGTTTTCACATTTCTGCTTCGTAGAAGCAACGCTGGCAAGCTTTTAAATTCAAAATCTAAGGCTATTTTTAGCCTTCAAACACCTGAAAATCGGTCACATTCTACCAAATCCAGCAAAATTCGATGTCTGGGACTCGAAGGATCCGGTCGGATCATTACAGCACATCTTCCAGCATAGAATTCGGGCGCCAGAATTCCAACATAATACGGCATGGTTCCGGTAGGATTGTACCAGATTCTGGCATGTCCCGACGTCGGATCTTTCAGAAACTTGTCTTCGGAATCATCGACCTGGGTAGTCCCTCTTTCTCCCTTAGATACACAACAGAAATCACGAGGAGGAAACAAAATTAAGCCATACATTATCATCTGGGGATGATACCTAAAAGTATGTGACAAGTTTGTCATTTATCTCACATGTAGTTCTTCTATACTTGTCGATATCAGGATGAGAAGATGGCAAGGATTTCTGGGCAACTTCGAAAGCTTCATAGGGCTGTATTTGATCTTAAGGCAATGTACTAGCAGGTTTAGGACAATTATCAAATACAACCGTTTTTCATAGACAAAGAGTGTATTTTTTTTCCACAAATTATGCAAGGCATTAGTCCGTCTTTTCTTCAAAATCTAATATCTGGTGATCAAAACACGCAACCTTATAACACGAGGGTGCAATCTAACAAAGACAAACAATAAATCTTAAATTGAATTGTCTGGAATGTCGTTCGCGTTGATTTACTGACTGTTCTATATAATAATTTTGATATTCCAATTGATCAATACGTTGTTCAATTGATATTAAACGTTTATTTATTCTTTTTATTACAGCATCATAAACTATATTTGTAATATCATCAATGGAGTTTGATTTTAAGGATTGTATTTGCTGCTGCTGCTGTTTCTTTCGTTGATTGATGTGGTCTCATACGAAACGTTTTACGATTTGTAACATCTTCCTTTTGTGAAGAAACCGGCATGTTATATATTTACTGTTATAGAGCAATTTCACTTTTATATACTTGTGAATGTTCTCCGGAACATAACGATCCGTTATTCATTGACAATCGACACATGCACCAATTTTACTCCCGATTGCAGTCTATGTTTGGAATTTAGATTATTTAAAAGAAAATCACTCACGCACCTTAATAGTGAAAACTTATTATTCAATTGCTGATTTCTTTATCATATTTTATCCATTTGTAAATGTTGTGTTTTACTAACTCTGAGGGTGGTTCTATATTAAACTATAACGTTTATTGGTACATTAAAAAACGTACAAATAAGAAGTCAAACTTATGGAGATGTCGTGATTGCGATTGTACAAGGTATGAAGACAATGCGTGATGCAACGCTTCATTCATGCAAGCAAGATTTCAGCAAAATTATTGCACAGGGCCAGTTTTCTAACAGCAGATGGACATCAGAATTTTTTTACTCGTGAATCGTTTTTTCATGAATGATTATCATTCTCTGGTCGTCTCTGATACTTTTAAACAAAGATTAAACATTTTGCGTTTGCAAGGATGCATCATCTTCTTCAACTATATTGGTACAGATTCTACAACTTTGTTAAAAATAGAGCATTGCATGTTTCAGCCGTAAGTTACGTCTGTTAATTTGCTCTGAAATGTTTGATCTAAAACATTCGTCGAAGTATTTTTCTTGTTTTTAAAAAAGCGATTTTATCGATGCTAGAATTCCAGTATGAGAGTCTTTTTTATATTATTGAAAAAAATTGAAAGCAAGTGAACTGAACTGAACTGAACTGAACTGAACTGAACTGAAACTTATTTCATCAAACACATGAAACCCACAAGAAAATAAAATACATGGCTGAAAGGAAAGTAGCAAAAGTCAAGAACTTATAATTATAAGGCTACCACCATTGTATGAGTAGAAAAAAAGAAATAAAATTGAAACAAAAAAAAAACAAGCAAATCATCGTATGTTGAGCCTAACACAGAA